TAAATTTGGATAGATATGTATAGTAATGTTGACAATAATAATGCGTGACTAAATATGCAATTGAACAAAAACTAAGATCTCTAGTAATAACCGACTCATATTACTTCTTATGAACCATTTCTTTTCTGATAGAAGTGGTGAATATAAACACTTTCAAACTACTCTTGAACAGTATGCCAAATAATAGTTCAAAAGAGAACTCACTTCTATACAAAAAGACCACTTTTATCTTAGATCTGAGATTCCCAAATAAATGGCAGTCTTTTATGTAGCACATTCCTCTCTTTTTTTATCCTTCAGTCTTAATGCTAACAGTTTTAGGTGGGATTGATACTTATTGCTATTAAAAATGCTCATTATCTATTAAGTCTATTTAGTGAAAAAAAAAATGGTACAATGTTGTTACCGATATGGAAATGGCATTGAATAAAAACTACAACTATCAGTTTTTAGTTCTTTAGGTATTTAGTTATCAAAAAATTATATCATTACTAATTAAGTCTAACATACGCTTTTGTTTCAAAAAACACTATGATACACTACAAACCAGACAATTTTTATTCTATTATATACCTAAACCATCTTGGCATTTCATTTATATTAGTGTCTTCAGATACAATTTTTAAAAAAATCTGGTGCACGATTTTCACTTACCGCTTACAATTTTCACTTTCAATAGAAATTATTTTCTGGCAATGTTGGGCTATTATAAAACTTTTTATGTCCATTTTAAACGGAGCTATAGCTTAAAGCTTACAAATCATTAAGACCATTAAAATTACAAGAAGTCTTCAAGTTTTCCGTGGACGTCCTCTTAGCCTCTTTTCTGTGGGTCTTGCCTCAAGAAATTTCCTGGGTCCCCTGTCCTAGTCCATCCTCATAACATGACCGAACCATTTGAACGTTTTCTTTACCACGGTTTCCAGCATTGGTGGCGCCTTAAAATTCTCTCTAATCCGTTCGTTTCGGATGCAATCTCTTCTAGTTCGGCCAGCTAATCTTCTCAGATATTTCATTTCGGCAGCGGTAAGTCTACTTTTGGGCCTATCTAGAAGTACTCTATTGTACCTCTGTACTAACGTACAGTATGGATGAAAAAAGGTAGAGTGTGTTGTATATATTGATCTTAGTTATATTTTCCACCTTCCGTTTTCCTAAGACCGTGTTGCAGATCTGGTAATAGATGCCATTTTCTTTTGTGATATCTCTTGGTGTATTTTTCCATTTCTACCAACAACTGTCCCTAGGTATTCCTCTACCAATTTCAGATTCTTACCCCTACAGTTTATTTGTATGTCTTCGATTTCTCGACTTATCTGCCTTAGAGACCACATGTTTGCTCTAAGGACAATTATAGAAAACGTGTGGGAACGTGACAAAAATATGTAATTGGCCTTTTTAGATATAAAAGCAGCTTATGATTCGGTGCCAAGGGAAGAAATATGATATGCATTAAAAAAAAAGAACATCCCAGGAGACCTTTTCCAAACAATACAATCGAGATATACAGATTCTAAGGGTATAGTGAGGATCAATGAGAAGCAATCAAACAGCTTTAATATGGACAAAGGAGTCAAACAAGGCGATATTCTCAGCACCCTACTATATATTGTCTTTATGGATGAGATTCTGAAAATCTGTAAACGTAGGACTGGAAGAACAATTATAGGAAAATGGAACATGAGAACAATTCTAGCTCAAGCTCTAGTACGCAGATGATATTGTCCTCATAACAGACTCAGCCGCAAAATTACATCAAGCGATTGTGGAATGGGGAGCTGAGCTTGAGAGAAAAAGTATGATCGTGAATGAAGAAAAAAATGTAAGATTATGGAGATAGATCGAGAAATCGAAGACAAACATTTTTCCATTGGGGGCAGGGTGGCCGAATGGGCTAAAGCGTGTGCAAAGCACCGCGAGTTGACTGGCAACCAGATTATAGATTTGAGATGATTTAAAAAGTACGAGTTCCCGTTCCGGTGCCGGAGGGGATTTTAAATTTCTCGCCCTCACTCCCCCCCCCCCCGGCCCGGGAAAATCCCGTATAGACTAAAAGGCGAGGTAGGGAACAAAAAAAAAAATAATAAAAAAAAACATTTTTCCATTACAAGTAAAAGTATTCTTAAAAAGATTTTATTTTGATTTTTTAGTCTTTACATATTATTATTTAAATTACTGAATATATTATCAGATATTTCTTTGCTTACTTTCGTTATTTTTTTTTTCTCTAGGCTTCATATGGCTGTATGGTGTACGGTGGACTCCCGGGAGATTCCGAGGCCAAACTTAAACGCCTAATGAATTGCGAACTACGATTTGTTTTCGGAATCTCAAGGGATACGCATATTACCCAGTATTACACTGAGTTGAGGTGGCTCTACCCATCCTATCGCCGTCAGTACTTCCTAGCTACCTTTCTGTACCAAATCATTAGAATCCATCGACCCTCCTATATTTTTCACAGCTTACAATTCAAATATTCCATCCAATCCCGTCCCACCAGATCTCGTACTTCCGACCTCTATCCTCCTCTTCACCGAACTGCTGCGTTTGACAAATCCTATGTAATACAAGCCGCCTCCCTCTGGAATTCCATCCCAGCTTATATTCGACACGCTCAATCAGTTTCCTCGTTTAAACCTCTCCTCTTTAAGCACGTACTCCTTTCTCAATCCGAATGATTGTGAAATATATCTAAGAGAAATATCTGAGCACCACCAGAGACTACCTCAATTTATTAAGGTTATTTTAGTTCCTCATACATATGTACAATTTACTTGTTCTTTTCTTTCTCTTTTCTATATTTTTATCGTAAGTCAACTTTCATTGTAAATATACAATTTAATTGTAGCCACACAGACATATAATCTGTATTCATATTTTGTTCTTAAGGGACAACAGTCCCAGAATAATAAAACTTTTTTTTTCATTTCATTTTTCATATATATATATATATATATATATATATATATATATATATATATATATATATATATATATATATAAATTCCATTACAACCATAAGTATTCTTATTTTTATTTTTTAGTTCTTCACAAATTATTATTCATATTTCTGTATATATTGTTTGAATCTTTATTAAGTTAGTTTTCGGTCAAATATGTATCTTTTTTGCATTTTTGTTCATCATTGTTATTCTTAGAGGATTTTATCTCAGAATAAAGTTAATTCATACATAAAAAAAAATAAATCAATTTAAAAAATGTTAATATTTATTCATAAAGTTCCTCTAACAGCTACATTAAACAATGGTAATTTGTTGAACATGTTTACGATGAAATCAAACGCTAATGATGTGTAAAACACCATCAAAGGCCATATATCTCTAACCTCTAACCAACATTACAAAGCCAATTAGTTTTGTACTAGAACTACAGGATAACTAGACGTTGCTTAGGTTAATTTCAGTTGCCGTCCCTCTAAACTAGTAATCTAAACACTTTTCATGCAGACAAAAAACGCTATAAGCTGATAACAAGATCCTACCAGACTGGTCACTCAAGCTCACAATTGGCACTTCCTTCACAGTCAACTCATGAGAATCTTATTGGCTGTCATCCATTTGACTGAGAGGCTTGAGATTTCTTAGCAATTAACGCTGTTAATTCCGGAACATTATATAGTTAGCTCTCAGAATTTAATATCAAAAGAATAAATATATCGTAATCTGAACATTCCAAGAAATAAATCTGTCCGTTAAAGAAAATTACATAAAATACTTTTGGAGCACTATCATGGTACAGAGAAACATTATTTATATGAGGCGTATATACTGATTAAGTAGTTTAAATATTTTCTCTGGCGGAATATCATAAAATATAACTAATAATATTATAGATCAAAATAATTATTAAAAATATTTAATATAATGTGAAATTTGAAAATAGTACCTCGTCAGTTAGGAATAAAATAAACACCATGTTCACCAAAATAGAGTATAAATAAATAAATGGAAGAAAATAAAATTATAGTGGTCAAATATTTTACGAACACTCATTTCTTAATTAATTAAAATGGCTGATTGTTTATATTTCCATTCATATATGTAAAATAAAGAGTAACTAGTTGGCCCGTGCAATTAATTCTCTTAGTATACTGATTAATGAACAAATGATAAAATAATATAGAAATCAGTTAATGAAGTTCAATATGAGAGGGATGAATTAATTATTTTTTCTCCATCGAATTACAACAGTTCATTAATTATAAAAAAAACATTAAATGTGTACATATTGTTATACGTTTTCCATAAAATTTTGAGGGTATGTGATTTTATTTCCTACTGGAAGATGATCTTCAAAAGTATGGCTTAATTATTGGATTAGATAAAGAATTAACGAAGACATGGTGTACTAACACATAAAAAAACCCATAAAAAAACATTAAAAAAAACTTTTAAAAATAGTATATAGTATATATTTTATTTTTTATGCATAAGGAATCAAGATTCACAGCATAAGATTAGGTTTATGCGTCGTCTCAAAAATTGTACATTTGGGTCGTTTTAGAGTAAGGCTTTAAAACGCAGGACCCAATATAGTTCAAATTTCGCCGTATTTCCAAATTTTGTTCTCCAGCACTCTAAAAAACGTTACTCCTATAATAGGGCGGGCTCGTTTCTTTGCTGCATTGTATTCACGGCCTCCCCAATATGTCCATGTTTGAGAGAATAAGAGAGGCCTAAATAAAGGTCTGTGCTCCTTTGCCTTCCGTTCATTGATTTTCGAAAGGGTTAGTTTTTAAAAATCAAGTTGATGCTGGCGCAGCGTATCCTTATCTGCTTATATCAGATCTTATCTCCAGCCTCCGTAACAATTGTAGCTCATGATTATTTCATGCTTGAAAATCTTATTATTTATCCTCCTTATTAAATGGAACTAATGCATATATAATATTTATCAAGTTGGGATAAAATAGTTTAAATTAGAACATCGAATAGTGTTTATAGATCAGCTGAGAGTCAGTAATATCCGCCTTGAAAATGATCATATTTCCGATAGGAAATGATCTTGTCCAAAGGGGGAAGTATCAAGACCATATCAGATCTTCGAGCGTCTCCCAGACATCAAATCCAGACGGGATGGTAGTCTACGGAACGACCTCTGAGGTAATGAATCGAAACATTTCTATCAGGATATCTACTGATAGAAAACGAAACCAAATAAGTACGTGGAAAGGGGTCGTAGGCATAGAAACATTCCATATTCAGATTAAAGCTCTTATTCTTGTATTAGGAAAATAAAAAAATAATTTTAGGACCTTGCTTGATGATATAATATGACTTTGCGAAACATAATTGTTATTAGCATCTGTATCAATATTTTAGACAGTTTTGTAAATTTAGGCACGATTCCAATAATTTTGGTCTTTACCTTTGATCAGCCTTCCTTGGCCGTATTGTAAGTAATCTCAACTATACCAATTGAGGGGTTTGGTGCAAGAAGGAGGCAGCACCGCTTTGTGCCTTTATTGAGTTGCACGTGCTATCCCATACAAAAGAAAAGGCCGCTTCTTTTGGCACAAGAATGAAGCAGCTAGTTCTAGAGAAATCCGGCAGATGGAGCAGCCTCGTTCTTCAAGACCAGAAGTTTAAAGATGTCAATGAGCTGGCCAGAAAGTATGTTGGGCAAAAAAAAATTTGGTTTTAGGACCAGTTAACGTCAAATGCTTCAAACGATCCTGATGAGACTGGGAGAGAGCTGGAAGACTGAAGAAAAACTGTACATATTGGTATATTATGCCAATGATGTTGTACTTTCTTTGTTAATAAATGTTTTGTAAACTGACATTATGGTTAATTCTGGAAAAAAAATGGTCCTACAAAGGGTTTTTTTGGTTTGGAGCAAAACGGAGGCAGCTCCAAAATTCAAAATTCCATTGCACGTATCTGAGCGCATGAATGTGTGTGTATTCTGGTCAGTTGTATTTGATACTCCATAACCTAACACAGAATATTTTTTGGTTTCGGTGAAAACTGAAAAACTTTTAATATTTTTTTAATTTGTTACATACTGGAAAAAGTGGAGCTGCCTCCTTCTTGTACCAAACCCTTCAGTTATGTTTTATACTTTATCATTTATATGATTCCTCATTGTATTATTCATTTTTGTATCAAATTACTTGAGGAACGTTTTTAGATAGCTTTGGATGCTTGGATGCAAGAACCTCCTTTCAGTTCCTTCTTCAGTCTCTTTGTCGGTGTCAGTCGATCTATCGGTCGTTTGGCCTAAGACCGATGATCCTAGTATATTCTTCCTTCGACAGACTCCTCTTCCATTTTGGCAATTTTATTATTAATCATAATAAAATACAACAATTATTTGAAATACTATAATAATTTTTCATTAATCAAGTTAACCTAAATAAATTTTATTGGGTAGGAAAAATGATAGTACACAATCAACTTATTAACGAAAATACAGACTTATCTCTCTGCCCGTTTATAGTATTTCCAAAATCTCTGTTGTATGCCATACTGTAGGCGTTTAAAACTTCGTGGATAATCACTAAGTCACCTAACCTTCAAAGATCTTATCACAGAATCCAATTAAAAAATATTAATTATGTCTGTAAAATAACGAAAACTATAAACGTTTCCCTCCCACCTTGTCTTTGTGCATATTTTTTGTCTCCTCCTTCACTACCATCCTCACCATTCGCCGAATTGAATCGTAGGACTTTGGATGGACTGTTTGTGGCAATTCTGCTCCCCTCCTGGCGAGACTGTCCGCTTCCTCATTTCCTGGAATACCGCAATGGCTCGGAATCCACTGAAGGATCACATTGGTGCCTCGGAGTGTTAGATCGTAGAGAAGGGATTTTGCACTCCAAGATAGCACTCGACATACATTTATTCACTTCAGTAATGGCGAGGATTGCTGCTTGCTAGTCGACAAGCGCCAATCTATATCTTATAATAATATGAAATTACGTCCTCTTGGGGTGATGTACTAACACGCCCTAGAGAAAGAGTTCTCGCCCGTTATTTGCTGCGTAATTAAAAAGGTGATTCCCTGGTTAACAGGCTAAGGATTTTTTTCGCTATTGTGGTTTTCCTTGACCTTAATGTCATTTAGTATATTTTTCCAAAATTCTCGATCAATGGCTTGCTCTACACTGATCCTCGATCTCGTCACGCTTTCATCCACCTCGTCTTTCCATTTCAATTTCGGTATTTATTTTTTCGTTCTTCCAATTATTTGCCCTACTTATTTTTGGAAATCTTTCTGTGGACATTACTTTAAAGTTAGTCTAACTTATTTTATTATGGGATATTCTAGTTTATTTATTTTTATTATTTCCTCGAATTTCTTAGGGAAGGGTTGTCATGACTTTCCTCCAGGCAACTCGATCTGCGCATTATCTCTAGAATTCGTATCCTCCTTGAGAGTGGTTTGAGTGCGATATATTCATATTCATATGAAATTAACATGAACATGCGTTCATTATTGAAATCATTTGGAAATTATATTTATCAATAGTGTAGTATCGGTGACATTCAGCCCCATTTATTAGCTAAATAAGTAGAGGATTGCCCTCACTCGGCTAAGGTTAAACAATAAATTAAGGAGAAAAAGTGTTAATGATTTAGTAGCACTAAGTATAGACTAATTCAATGAATAATGGGGCCACCTATAAAGAGGAAAGCTATAATGAAGACCAATTAGTAATCCTTTGGCAGAAAGCTAAAGGTCGCGACCCCTTAAGGCTTAATCAAGTATGTTGTAAGGGCACTGCAACAGGTAGGAAGGGAGGCCTCTGATGGTGTGTGTGTGTGCAGCCAATTACTCAATCTACATATAAAATATCTATGAATTGTTTGTGACTGGGAGGTGGTGTGAGAATTCTGGAGTTAATTATCCATTATAAAGTGTATTTATTACGTACAAGTTTATGTACAAGAAATAAAAAAAAATTGGTACAACTTTCACTAATCACTATATTTTGAATAAAAAATAGGTCTTATCATACATAAATTGGTTGATTGGTTCTTTTTATATTTTATGCGAAAAACATCTAGGTCATCAGCGCCCAATTAACTAAATATGCCTGCGATTAAAATATTTAACTGGTAGGAACATCATACATATGAAACTGAAAGCAAAAATTATACACAGAACAATATATTATTTAAAATAATTAAGTGCCCTCGATCTAATCGTTTGATCTATTAAATTCATGTCTTTTTCGCCACTTGTTTGTATATCTATGGAAAAAAATAAACTCCATAAGACCTTAAAACTACCGACAGTTACAGACTTTATAACACGCAAGCACGTTAAATGTTATGATAGAATGCAATACGCGACTGATCCGCTCTTTAGGACACTACTCGGTGAGGTCCATATCCCTGGCCCGGAATTTCTTGTTGAAAGCTATACCAATAATTTGTATCCACAAATATTAGAATTTGTACCAATCAGGAACCGGAGATATAAAGCTCGTAAACGCCGACCAAGTGATATTTTGTAGGCCATCATCAATGGAATTACGAGTTGAAATTTATGTTAATGATTTGTACTTCTGTGTACAAAAATGTAAGGAGTTGTAATCATCAGAAACCGGAGAAATAATGGTCATAAATTCTGCCACGTAGTAGTTTGTGGCCCGAAACCAATGGAATTACGAGTTGAAATTTACGCCAATAACTTGTACCTGATTTATACTAATGTGCATTAAAATATTAGGGTTTGTAAAAATCAGTAATCAGAGGAAACTCGTAAATTTGGCTACGTGGTAACTACTACCTCCAACAAATAAAAAATAAAGTAGGATTATGTATAAACAACAAATTCCGGGAAAAAAAGAAATATTGTGAGAGATTCATTGTTAGCATTTCAACATTTTTAAAGAAATTATTCAGGAAAATAGAACATTTGTTTGCGGGAAATCAGATTTTTAAAAAACCATCCATAAACACCCGTTTTAAAAATTCCTCATTTTTAACATTTTAAATTGAGTACAATTCCTCGAAAAGCCATTCTATTCCTTACTTACATTTATAACGCCGTACTCCGTTCCACATATTTTCCTGACCCTTGGAAACTATCTGCAGTCAAAATAATACATAAACCCAAAAAGCCACCAGAATACCCATCCTCTTACCGTCCCATCTCTCTTTTACCCATCATGAGCAAAATCCTGGAGAAGCTCATCTTATAACGCCTGTATCACATCCTAGATTCTAACCACATAATCCCTGATCACCAATTTGGATTCCGCACATCCCATTCCACTATCCAGCAATGTCATCGTGTGGTAGACGTAGTCTCCTCTGCATTGGAGCGCGGAATGTATTGCACTGGAGTTTTTCTCGACGTTGAACAGGCGTTTGATCGGCGGGATTGCTTTACAAACTCCGTAAATTCCTTCCCCGTACATATTTCCTTATCATCAGTTCCTATCTTACTGATAGGCACTTCAAAGTAAATCACAATAATACCTATTCATCCCTCTTTTCTCAATTTGCCGGAGTTCCTCAAGGTAGTATCCTTGGTCCTATCCTTTACACAGTTTATACAGCTGACATCCCAACCCATCCTAACACTGTTATTACCACGTATGCCGATGATACATGTGTCCTATCATATAATGACCCAACCATTGCATCCCAAACTCTTCAATCACACATCACAAGACTTGAAGAATGGTGTCAAAACTGGAGGATTAAAATAAATTCTAATAAATCCCATCAAATCACCTTTACCCTTCGACGTAAACCTATGACCTCATGTCCCACAGTATCCTTTAATAATACCCCACTTATCCCTGTTGAACAAATCCGATACCTTGGACTTCATTTGGACAAACGTCTAACTTGGAATCCTCATACCAGACTGAAACGACAAGAAACCGCTCGACGTTTCCGACTACTCCAACACTTACTAGACAAACGCTCTAAACTTCCCCTTAATTACAAAAGACTAATATACTTGACTATAATAAGACCTATTTGGACTTACGGAGTTGAACTATGGGGCTCCACTAAACCATCGAATTCCTCTCGCATCCAATCCTTACAATCCAAAATCCTTCGTATAATCCTCAATGCTCCTTACTTTGTCACTAATAAAATAATCCATAAAGACCTCAATGTTCCATATGTTTCCGATTTGGCCATGGGGCCAAAAAAAAATGAGTACACAGAAACAATAAATAAAAAAGGAATAAAAATATTGAAAATTCTTTGTTGAGTTCCACAATTTTACGTACCAATAATTTCTGTACATACTTTTTTTTTTCTAATAGTATATCCATGGTACTATATTAGGGATGTTAATATAAATGACAACATTCAAATTGACATATCATCGGAACCATGCCGAAGTAACAACCTGGGGCAGGTTTAAATTCGTCACATAAACATTGTTCCGACGATATGTTCAAAAAGTTTTTTATTAATAAAATAAAATAATAAGCATTATTTGCAATGAAAATAAATAATGTATATACTGAAAACAAAAAATTGACTAATCATAACACTATTGTAAAACTATTGAGTCAAATTCCTGGTTTCGAAATTTCGATGGTCACAAATCCTAATATTTTTGTACACATTAGTATAAATCAGGTAAAAATTATTGGCATAAGTTTCAACTCGAAATTCCATTGGTACCGGGCAAGAAAGTACCACGTGACCAACTTTACGAGCTTTATATTTCGGTTTCTGATGATTACAAAGTCTAATATTTTGGTGCGTATATGTACAAATTACTATCATAAGTTTCAACTCAAAATTTCATTGGTACTAGGCCACAAAGTACTACGTGGCCCAATTTACGAGCTTTATATATCAGGTTCCTGGTGAGTTCAAATTCTAATATTAGGGAGAAAAATTACTACAAATTATTAGCATAGGTTTCACTCGAAATTCCATACTTCGGTTCTGTTCCCTACAGTTCGGCGGACATACTTAACTAGACTGAGCCCTATTACTAGACTATCGATTGAGGAAGAAGCAATTTTCAAAAATTTGAACACATAATTCCCTTATAAATTTGAAAATGTCAACAGCTTATCTTTGGAGCTAAGAAAAAAAAAGTCGGTCTACGGCTCAATATTTTAACTTTTTTTATAACAAATAATTAAGTGCCACAAGTGTAAAATATGTAAAATCCATTATGTAAAGAGACTCTTCCGAGCCGATAAGCCGATTTCGACAAAAATGTTGCAGTGAATTCTCAGGCATACCTTCTTCTTCGTTAGATTCCCTCTTTGATGCCTCACAGCATAGTGGAGCATTCAGCCAGGAATTCTATTCTTCCTTATTTCTAGCTAAGTTCCTTGCCTGTTGGTGGTCCTTTCACCTAGCCCTACAGGTCGCTCAATGCAGTCGAGGTAGGACATCCTAGGGCGGCCCTCGGTCTTCTACCATCTGGGACATATTTCATGGTCTTTACAGGATCTCTGTGGTCGTCCATCCTGATAACATGGCCGAACGACTTTAGCTGACGAGTTTCTAGGATCTCTCTCAGTAGAACTATCTGCAGTTCCTGACTGATCCTTTCATTACAAACTTAGCCTCTCTTTGTTTTTCCAATCGTCCTTCCCATAATTTCATTTCAGCAGCTGTGATACTGCTCTCCTGTTGGTCTGTTAATGTCCAACTCCCCGCTCCATACTAAAGTATGGTTAGATATACTGTCTTGAAGATGTGTACCTTGACATTTTTGCCTACTTCTCTCTTCCCTACCACAGTGTTTCATATCTCATAGTAAATTGCATTTGCCTTGTTAATCCTGTTAGATATTCCTGCGTCTACTTTCCCAGATACGTCTATCACTGTACCCAGTTATGTGAATTCTGTTACTATTTTAAGTTTTAAAATTGAAAAAATATTCAGTTATGCAGCTATAATCTCCATTAAAAAAAGCAAAATACCTTTTTGCACTAGTTATGGACACCCAAAAATCGAAAAAAGAAAAAAAGAAATCGAAGCTCTCAAAATAATTAAAAAAGCATGGGTTTGCTCTAATTGCGACCAGGTCAAAAAAACAAAATACCGAGCCGTCTCCCTCAGAAATACTAGCGGCAGTAAATCGTTTAGACGCTACCATGAATGAGGATATAAAAAACATGATAACAGGATAAATATGGAGAGCTTAGTTTTAAACTTAACGAAAGACTGACGAAGATTGAAAACATCTGGAAGGTCAAGCTAAAAAGTTTGAGGAGATAATATTAGAAAATAAACCACTCAAATCCCGAGTGGGAGAATTAGAGGTTCACTTAAATAACGCGGAAATCCCAAAATATGTTGGTTATAATGAAATCCGGCTCCAATTCCGTAGGCCCTGATAGCATCCCTATCAAACTAATAAAATTATGTCTCCCTGAAATCATCCCAGTTCTCCTTTTCACCTACAATTTCTCCCTGCAGAATTCAGTATTCTCGACCTCTTGGAAAAAACCCATTGTCCTTCTTTTACACAAAAAGCCTAATCCATTCTCTCCCGAAGATTTCCGCCCAATATCAACTATTTCCAATCTTTCAAAACCCCTAGAAAGGTTAGGTAATACAAGTTTCCAACTTCCTTGAAAATACAACCAACTCGATCCGATCCTCTCCAATCTGGCTTCCGTTGGTTCCAACACAATCTTCTCTGATTAAAATTACCAGTGATATTCAGACTGCAATAGATCACAAAAAAGTAACTATACTTATACTTCTTGATTTCTCCAAAGCCTTCGACTCCATTATCTATTTCATCCTTTTCAACATACTAAAATCATTAACCTTCTCCAATAGTTCCATCTCTTGGT